TTGCGAGCCGTGGGGCTGGCTCTATGAGGATGTGCAGGGTGGGCGGTGGTGCTGGGGGGGCGGCTGCAGGGCCAGAGCCGGCGTGGCTGGTGTTTTGCCTTTGCGAGCCGCAGGGCCGGCTCTATGGGGATACACAGGGTGGGTGGTGGTGCTGGGGGGCAGCTGGGGGGGTGGTTGCAGGGCTGGAGCCGGTGTGGCTGGTGCTTTGCGAGCCACGGGGCCGGCTCTCCATGGCAGGGCAGTGGTGCTGGCGGGGCAGCTGTGGGCGGGGGCGCAGCGGGCAGTTGACCTTCCATGGGCCGCGCCAGCTGGTGGTCTACGCAGTGCTGACCTGCGCTGCCACCACCTTGCCCTGCGCACCTACGTGGCCATCCTGGAGCACCTGGCTCACAACACCTGCTTCTGCCGCCCACCCCCGCACAGTCCAGCCATGTAGATTTTTGGACAAGTGAGAAATCGAAATTGAATGTTGATACTCTAGCTGCAGCACTTGCTGTAAAATTCAATATGAAGCATATTTCTTGTTCAGATATTTCCAATGTATTGTTAGAAGATGATACATTGACAAAAATATTCATTCAATGGAAAAGTACTCATTTAAATAATTAATAGGTATGTAAGCATAATTACAATATAAAATGTTATTGTTACAACTGTTTTTTATTATGCATTTATCATATTATAGTGTATTCTGTATTATAAATACAATAAATACAATGTTTCTTTTATTTACGATATTTTTTTCTTCAATTTATTCGTGTCCTTCTTTTTGTTGTAAAAAAGTTGGTCACCTTATGACAAGACCACTAAATCTCATATCATATTAGAAATTATGTGCAGGTTATTGTGAGATATGGCAAATTTGCAAGCTTTTTTGCCATTTTATTATTATCTTTTAATTGTATTGTTCTCCAGATGATGTTTGGGAGTCCTGCAGTTTCCATGGCAACGTGCAGCACTATATTGCCTATCTTGCTTTTCTCTTAACCTACTTCATGGGACTGTTGTGAGGATAAACAATATGAAGGGAAAGAGCCAAGAGTATGTGATCAAATTCAATGGAGTCACTGGTATTTAAGTAGCTCCCGTAAATAATGTGAGAACGTTGATTTCTCTCCCATTCTAACAGCAAAAATTTATTAGGGGACAAAAGCTAAAAACTCACAGTGAGATAATGACACATTTTAACTGATTAACTTTTTCCTTCAAAAAGAGATGGTGTTTGCCCTTCTCTCAAAAAGCTTGGAAACTCCATCCATTGCTAAATAATACATAAAAGGGGTTTCTTGATACTATCTTAATACAGAACAGACTAAGTCATCCAGTATAGCTCTGGCCAATCAATCTCAAGCAGTTTTCTTCTAATTCCCGAACTCACTACTATGTCTTGGGACTCTCCTTTACTCAAACTTTCTTGTCTCTAACTGTTGAAAAAACCTGCAAGTGCCTATAAGTGTGTCTCTCGGTGAGAATGTGTTTGGTGTATATGTAGATGTGCTTGCAGCAATCTTTCCACCAAGATTGCTTAACTGATTGGATTTAGAGGCTGATCTGAGCAATTTACATTTTAAAAGTAAAGAAAGGAAAATAAATATGTATGTCTATAGAAAACAAACACAAACCATGGGGGGGTTATAGGTCTCAACAGCTTACCTAAGCCCCAAGCAAAGCCAGGTTTTAAAGGACTTTTGGAACTCTTGCAAGATGGGATTCAGATGGATTTTTGGGAAGAAGGCTAGTCCAAAAGGCAGGCACATGATAGAGAAGGTGCACCTCTATAGTATGTCCTGATAGATGGCATTAGATCACTGTTGTTGATATTACTGGGCAGGCAGTATTGGTAATAGGCAGTTGCTCAAATAAGCTGGCCCTATGCCATGAAGGGTTTTATAGGTGATTCCACAACACCTTGAATTGAACTTAGAAGCCAAGTAATAACCTACACAGCTCATAAAGCAGCAGTGACAAAGAGGCATATCTGTGGGGTCTAGGACAATTCAGCACGGCCAATTCGATGTGGCCAAGTCATTATGACCAACTCACCATGGCCAACTTGCCACGGCCAACTCGCCGTGGCCAACTCTCTGTGGACAATTCACCATAGCCAACTTGCCATGGGACAACTCTCCGTAAGACAAGAATTACACTAATGTCGAAGAAATAGTGGAATAGAATTATTAAAAAAGGATGCAAAAGGAGGGACAAAATGAAATGTGAATGACAAAAATTAAAATAATGTTTAATTACTTTAAATACTTGAATTGTTGACTTGTCCTGCAGTGAATTGTCCCACTGCAACTTGGCCAAGACGAGTTGGCTCCAATAAATTGTCCCATTCCATATCTGTGTGTCACTGCATATTAGATCAACTGTAGCTTCCAAGTGGTCTTTGAGGACAGCCCCATATACAGTGCAATGCAGTAATCCATTAATGAAATGACTCCGATGTGAGTGGCTGCCTGAAGGGCTGCCTACTCTAGGAGTGGACACTACTGGCACGGGACCAGGTTATTTGTGGGGCCACCTCTCTCTAATAATTGTTTCTGTCTGTCTGCAGCAGGACGTGCATGCTCCAGATTCCGTCTTAAAATGCATCATCCTGCAGGACCCAGAAAGTGTGCACTCTCTGTTGCAATCTGGTCCTCGGAAACACCATACCATCCTCTCTATTTATGGAGATATTTTTCTTATTTTGTCTGTTTTATTTGGATGTACAGTAACTCTTTGTAACTGCCCACTTGCAATTGTAAAGTGGCTAGTTATATAAACATACGAATGAATGAATGAATGAAAATGAATGAATGAAATGATGCACTAGATCACAGGTCGGCAACCTGCGGCTCCGGAGCTGCATGCAGCTCTTTGAGCCTTCCCCTGTGGCTCCCAGCCTCCTCTGCCTTTGCAGAGAGAGACAGAGACAGAGAGAAGCAATTGCGCTTCCCTGCTTCTCTCTCTCTCTCTCTCTCTCTCTCTCTCTCTCTATGTCTGTGTGTGTGTTTGTGTTTTTTTGTGTGTGTGTGTGTGTGCGCGCGCGCGCACACGTGTGTATGTGTAAAAGAGAGGGCACTCACAGTGTTCTCCGAGGAGCTGAAAAGCTTACTGGGTGGAGCTCCTCCCTTTGCTACGTCTCTGCAGGAAGCAGGAAGAGCAGGAGAGAGCTAGCTAGCCCAGCTAGGCTGACTCAGGAACTCTGGGAGTTGAAGTCCATGAGTCATAAAAGAGACGAGGTTGCCTACCCCTGAGCTTGTTGGACAACAGCTTGAAGCTTGCCAGGTGAGCAGCAGATAGGAGAGGGGGGGGAGAGAAAGAGAGAGAGAGAAAGAGAGGGAGGGAGAGAGAGAGAGAGAGGAAAGAGAGAAAGAGAAAGAGTGGGGGAAGAGGAGTGGCAGACCAAGGGCAGATAGAGAGGGAGGGAGAGAGAGAGACAGAGAGAGACCCTTTTGACATCTAAAATGAAGATAACACTGCATATATCCTTTTTTTTACCTGTGTGTGTATGTATGTATGTGTGTGTGTATATATATATATATATATATATATATATATATATATATATATATATACTGTGTGTATATATATACACACACACACATACATACACACACACACACACACACACCTATAATAAAGATAAAAAAGGATATATGCAGTGTTATCTTCATTTTAGATATCAAAAGGGTTTTGCGGCTCCCAGTGTTTTGTTTTTGGTGGGAAATGGGTCTAAGTGGCTCTTTGAGTGTTTTGGGTTGCCTACTCCTGCACTAGATGGACCGGTGCAAAGGATCTCCCAACCACAGCTGCTACCTGCCCTTTGAGCAAGAGCTATAAGTTCTGGATATGTTCCAGATGGCACAAGAGTCTCAAATGGGCAAGTGCAACCTCATTCAAGATTAAACATGGAAAATCCTCAGATCCAGGAGTCCAAATAACCACAGTCTTAGTAGATTTGAATCAGAGTCTATTTCTCTGCATCCAAATCCAGCCTCCGAACACTGCGTCATGACATTAACACCATCACCTGGATGACCCAGGGTCAAGATGTATAGCTAGATATTGTCTGCATACTGATCATATCAGATCCCCCAGTCAATGGATGAAATCATCCAATGGTTTCATGTAGAAGTTAAAGAAGAGGGGTGAGAATATTGAACCATGAGGCACACCATAAATGGGAGACTGCGGATTCAATCCCTTCGGTCAACACTAACTAGAACTGACCACGTTAAGAAGAACCATGAGAGGTGAGAGATCAAGGAGCACAAGGATGGATTTACCAACCTCATCCCACCTTCACTAGATGTCATCAACTAGCATGACCAATACTGTTTACATACTTATTCTAGCTTGAAACCTGATTGAAATGGATCCAGATCATTTGCTTCCTCCAATGTCTGTCATTTAAACAACTGTCCCTTTTTTAGGAGACTGGACTGCAGCTGTCCAGAACTATTGGGACCAGCAAGGGCTTGTTGAGGAGGAGATACATCACCACTTTTTTCATTGTAGGAAGAACTTTACCCCCTTTCTCAAGGAAGCTAATACCACCACAAGGACCTAACTACAGGTCACTTCCTGGGCAGCTTTAACAACTCAGCATAAAGAGGTGGCTGAACTCCAGATGGGAAGACTTTATCCACATCAATTATTTTTGAAGACTTTTTAATAGCTACTAGGCATAGAAAAGTTTCTGTTTTCATAGAATCCCAATTTATGCAACAATGTGTAACTATTACTTTAGTGAACTTCCTGAGGAACAACTTTTTCTTTGTTTTCTTAATGGCAGCATATACTGTAGCTCTACCTTATGGATCCTATAAGTTATTTGATTGCCTGCCTTCTCTCCACTTCGGCCTTAAATAATTATCTTGGCAGTGATATCTCAAGAATTCAAAGGGCCTGATCAACTTTTTTTTTTTAAAAAAAAAGTGGATGATAATTGTCCATTCTTCTTAATCTGGTGTATGTGGAAGAAAAATTAAAAGAATCACGAAAGAATACCATTTAGGAGAAAAGTAAGATAGCCTCAACTTTATTTCTGTCTTTAACTCCTTCGCCACTCCCAATAAAAATCTGCAAAGGTAAGAAAATGCAGCACATTTCTACATCAAAGCCAGAGCATATGGTTACTTTCTGGACACTTCTGACCAAGGTTTGCTCTGCTGTCAGTGAAATCGACAGCAAAGTTCTCCTTGGTCTAAGCGGGGACAAGAAGAGAATTAAGGCTGTTTAAAGAAAGTAGGGAGGAGCTCCTGAATTTATAAATTTGTATCACCACTGCTTGATATTGTGGCCATTTTGGGGTGCCGGGGAAAAACAACCCCCTTCCCCCAAGCCCAATTTTTTTTTTCTGTTGCAAGGAAAGGAAGGGACATTTCTTTTATTCAGTGATGACTCTTTCTTTGTTTATTTCAATTTCTCATGCTTCTCCTGGATGTGCTTGTCACACTGTATGTCGATTTCAGGCTGCCTGAGCCAGCTCCAGAGGTGAAACCGAGGGCTCCGCTGCCCATTCCACTTCCCAGAGTAAATCCTCCACCATAGCCAAGACCACTTCCACTGCTGTATGCACCACCACCACCACCACTGGAGCTGAGCAGGGCTGCAGTATACAAAAAAGCACGTCATGTTTAGCAGAAAGAATGAGACACCTTGGAATGTTCTAACAAATACTCTGCCAGCAACAGCAAGACATTGATCCTTGAAGGGAGTGGATGCATTAACTATGGCTCAGCAGAGGCCATTTAATTTATAATTTCATATGTGCAAAAGGGGATTTTGGCCATTTTGGCCAAGTTACTCTTGCTATCCCATTCAATTGGATTCCCTTGTTCTCAGAGAGCTCATATAGAGTGGGCTGACTTGCAACAGGGCAGTGTGGTGAAACCACATTGATTCTGGGATCCCTGATTCACCATCTTATCTTCTTTGACTAAGGCAGGATAAGGCAGCCAAAAAATCCTTTTTTTATTGAAACTGATCATGCATCGTTGATTTCAAAACTACAAATAATCTAATAGATATTTCCTCAAGTTATAAAGATGGCTGCCTGCCAATATTCATCCAGAATACACATTCCTGTAACTGAGTTTCATTATTCTATGTCCTCTGTTCTGGAATAAGAGGAAGCAGTTCTTGGTTTTCTTTGCATTGGTTTAAGTATTTTCAAACTGCTACCGTATCCCACCTTTTCAGCGCTTGGTTTCTTCAATATATTTTTATTCAGCTTAGTTTTCAATCATCTGATCATTTTCACTGGCCTTTGCTAAATCCTTATTGAAGTATAGTGCCCAGATAGTATTCAAAGGCGATCTGACCAATGCAGAACTACTGTTTTCCATGATTTAGAAATTATACTTTTGTTGACCTGGCTAAAATGCACAATTGGTTTCTTTGCAGTGATGTTTCACTACTATTTCTGATTCCATTTTTGATCATTCTAAATACATATTACATTTTTAATATTGAGCCAGGTTTCTCTCATCCTATCCTGGCCTCTTGACTCTTGTTAAATTTCATTCTGCTGTTCCAGCCCATTTCTTTAATCTATCAAGATTGATTGACAATGTGAATTAACTGAGAATGAAGCATATTCATTACGCTTATTTTCTTTGCCATTGTTATGAATCCAGGAGACTTATAGTAGGGCTAGATAAAAAATATATATAAATACATATTCTTCAATCTACCTTTCATTAAAAAGCTTTTGATATGAATGGCAAAATTGTTTCTGAACCCCGACTCAGAATATTTCTTATGAAAACAGAAGATAGCATCTTGTATGTTATCCTTTATTTCTGTTTCCTCAATACACAAAAGCCCTAGCTTGTTCTTTCTATCTACACCCTAAAGCGAAGGAGCATAAATTTGAGTATGGCCCCAAGAAATTGCTCCAAGTTATCAAAATGTGATACGTAACATGATAGAAAATGAAATTATTAAATGCATTCCTATTATAGAATCTATTATAGAATCCCCAACCTCCCACAAGAAGAGCCTGAAGACTTGGCTCTGCCTGTTGGCCTGGGGACCAAATGGGGAATTTCCACACTGGAGGGGGCTGCTGGATTGATGACATACTCCACCTTCCTCCCCTTTGCTCTCGGCCAGGGGTCTGCAACCTTGGCTCTTTTATGACTGGTGGACTTCAACTCCCAGAATTCCTGAGCCAGCATGGCTCAGCTTGGAAACCTCTCCCTTTCCCCTCAGCATGGCTGGCTCAGGAATTCTGGGAGTTGAAGTCCATGAGTCATAAAAGAGCCAAGGTTGCCTACCCCTGCTCTAGGCTCTCCACCCATCCATCTTTCTGGTTATCAAATCAATGTATTTTGGTTGTACTTAACTTACAACCTCACTGAAAAAAGTGACTTATGACCATTTTTCACACTTTACGACCATTGCAGCCTCCCCATGGTCACATGATCAAAATACAGATGTTGGCAACCAACTCAAATTTATAACAGTTGTAGTGTCCCTGGGTCATGTGATCACTTTTTATGACCTTCTAAGGAGCAAAATCAATGGGGAAGCCAGATTAACAACCCTGTTACTAACTTAACAACTGCAGTGATTCTCTTAACTGTGGCAAGAAAGGTCGCAAAATGGGGCAAAATTCACTTAACAAATGTCTCGCTTAGCAACATAATTTTTGGACTCAATCATGCTGGTAAATCAAGGACTACCTGTATTGTTCTATTGTTTTACACTGCTTTCATTTTCTTCCTTTTTATTAGCCCCACAGTGAGATAGGCGGCAAACAAACAAACAAACGATCTCTATACTTATTTTAATTAAATCTAAGTGTTTTTCCTAGCTATGTCTTCTACTTCTTGGAATGCAGCTATAACTACAGGTAATCCTTGTTTAGCAATCGCAGTTGGGAACAGCAACTTGGTCATTAAGCAAGGTAATCACTAAGTGAAAATAACGTGACCATGACTATGCTTATAATTTTCCAGTTTTCCTTTGCTTCATTCAGCTGAATTGGGGTTCTTTCTGTTTGAGGACAATTTGGTATGGGCTAAATAAGTGAAAATAAATGCAGAAAGACATTGCAAAGTTCATAAATGCGAGGACTGGTCTCTAAGGGGATTTTTGAACACTGAACTTTGAATGGTCACTAAATAAGGCAGTCACTAAGTGAGGAATGCCTGTACACACACTCAAAGTCGGGGGGGAGGGGGGCTTTCATCTTGGAGAAATGATAAACTGCTGCCCTAAGGGATGTGGTCCCTGGGGTTTAATATATACTGAAAAGAAGTCAAGAAATAAGAAGTAAACTTACTCATGCTTACAGAACCAGCTCCGTCTCCAGACAATCTATTGTATGAGAAATAAGCAAAGAAGCAATTTTTTTAAAAAAAAGAAAGCAATCATTTTTCTAATTGAAAGTTTTTAGTCTTGGCAATAAGAAAATAAAACATTATTAATATAAAATATACAGAGGAGAGTGCTAATTGATTCTTGCCAGTTTTAATTAATGTACATTACTGGCCTTAGGAAGAAGATCAGAGCCACTCTATTGGATGAGATTAATGATCCAAGAGATGATTCTTCCCCACCCAATCCTTTATTGTTGTTAATTGGAGACAATACGAGTAGGATAAGCTTAAAGGACAAAGCACAGGTCTCCTTCATGATTCATTTAATCTTAACCATTTCACCATACGAGTTTCAATTAATGAAAGGTAACATTGGATTAAATATACAGAGTAATACATAGCAGACTTTAGCAGTTAATATATAGTTTATATACTTTATACACACACACACACACACACATATTATATACATACATACATACATACATACTATATATGTACATATATATACTACACACACACACACACACACACAAAAAAAAAAATTTGATTGCAAGCTGCCCAGAGTTACCCTGTGGTAAGATGGGTAGCTAATAAATTTATTTATTTATTTATAAATTTATTTATAAAATGTATTTATAAATAAATAGGGATTTTTAAAAAACAACCATTTTTAAAAAGTAAATGCCTGATCATAAATACTTATTTTATATATAATATGGGCGGAGACATAAAACTTTGATTGGTTTTAAAAAAAAATCTACGTTACCCCTTGACTGAACACTGCAGCCTTAGTAAAGTTGCTGCCATGATCAGAATATTATTTCCAGTCACATACCTGCTCTCTTCTCCTTCCAGCAGCTTTCTGTAAGTAGCAATCTCAATATCCAGAGCCAGCTTGACATTCATCAGCTCATGATATTCACGCAGCTGGAGGGCCATCTCTTGCTTAGCTTTGTTCATGGCCCCCTCCAGCTCCTCTAGTTTCGCCTTGGCATCTTTGACAGCCAACGTACCGCGTTCTTCTGCTTCAGCAATGGCACCTTCAAGCTTGGCACGCTGGAAAGACAGACCAAGAGGACAGAATTACTCAGATCTTCTGCCTTTTCATGGCATTCAATACAGAGGAGGAGAAAACGAAAAGTATTCCAAAGCCATAGCTGAAATGAGTATCGTAGGGGGAAATCCATTCATCCTTTCTTTTTTCTTTTTCTTTTGCTACTTTTTTTACAGGAAATACATTCAGACCAAATCCCTAACTATGACCAGAAAAAAAAAAAAAAATCTAAAGTTGGCTTCAGCTGCCAAGGCAAGACTGAACCTGTTAGGTCAGTTTACAAAAATCCAAGAAATTTTTATTGTAAAGTTACTGGCTGTAAAGAAAGCATTTCAGCAAGTAGAGGGTTTCAAGCCTTCTTTATAGATTCACTATTCAACCCTGTTTTCATCTTTTCCTTCTCAGTTCTGCAAAACAAGGGGGGAAATAATTGGAAAGTAAAGGGAGCTCCAATCGATTCTATCTCCTAATTTTTCTGCTAGGGCAGATCATATTCATCCCATAGAACAGGAAGGCATTAACTTCTTTTTAGAAGTCACTGCAATCATTGAACTGATATTGTACTGTGATACAATGCCCTCTAGGTCAAAGTCCAGCAAATAGTGCTGTGTCTTTAAGAAGAAAAAGAAAAGGGGAGGGGAGGAGGCCATGGGTCAGCAGTACAATGTCTGCATTGTATACTGAAAGTAGTTCATCAAGTAATGTACAAAGAATTGAGGTTGAAACATTTGGAAAACTACCTACTGAAGATCAGGAAAGCCCCCGGCAGAGCAAAAATAGATTACACTAAACAAGCCAAAAATCTGGATTTTGTAAAACAGGGCTGAGGAACTTGTGCTAGTGGTCATAATTCAGTCAACTAGAACTCTTTGGAGAGGAAACAAAAGGTTTACCTTTATTTAAAGCAATGCACAAACATCATTAGCAGAATACTTGTGATTTGATTTATTAGGGGAGAAGGGCCCACAGCCAAGTGGCAATGCCTCTTCCCCCCTTCCAGAGCAGACCCAATTCGTGGCCCCTCCAGTCAATAAGTCAAGAAATACTTTTGCTTGGCAATCCTGGAGTACTACAGTCAACCACAATAATTTAGTCAGGAGTTCAAGAAATGTGACCCACAGCATTAAAATTAATATGAGAATCAACATTAATCAAATGTCTGTCTTAAATATATGTTCACAAGGGAGCATGTTCCTTAGCCTGAGAACAACACACAGGGAGACACTCTCCCCTCCATGCCAAAAAAATGGGCCTCTGGCAGGAGTGCTTCCAAAATGACTTGTGCAAATCTTCATGGTCAGCAGTTCATCATCATCTGCCCTGGCGTTGACGAGTGAAAGATAAAATGCCTTCAGTAGGGTCAGAAAATAGCAACACCTTGTCTCAAAGGAAAAAGGATGGGGGGGGGGGAAATCTTCTAGTTATCTGCCCTTTGCCCACCATTCGTGCCACAATCATTTATTACATTGCTGATCTGAGATAAAACTACTAGCAATTTGCTATACAAGAAATTTTTAGGTGCTATACTCCTTGTGCTCCACTCCCTCTATTCTCAGGGCGTGGAAGAAAAGTGTAATGCTAAGCATCTGGACTTCAGATCTCCATTCATCATTTAGAGGTAAATTTGCCTGGGTCACTATGTTTGCATTGCTTCTCCTTTAATGTTTGCTTAAGTCTCCCTGCCCTAAAGCCAAACACACATTATGGAGAATGATTCACAATAGCTTAGCTCTCACTTTTGTGTAAACAGTCTATTTAATTTATCATGAAATATCCAATCCTTGCAGGCAACCGTAGCACAATTATATAAATAGGTGGGGGTTGTGGTTTTTTTTTTTTTAACATATATACTATTTAGTCAACAAACTGACAAAGCTGCCCAAACAGAAAAAAAGGAGGGTTTTCTGGCTTGAAACACCATGAACTCAACACTTAGGTAGATGAGGGCCAAAATGAAGAAGACAGATGTGTGGCCAGATCCCCCCCCACCGCCTTTTTTATGTTTCAGCAGATATAAAGGGCTCCAATTTCTCCATAACCTATCAACCTTGCTTTTACCAAAAGAACTTTGACTCCAGCCAGGTTTACAATAGAATCTCAGCCAGCTTTTTCTTGCTGTCCTTTATAATAGCAAGTCGATACATCTGGCTTTACTGTAAAAAGAAACCATAAATCCAACAATATAATTCTAGCTGTTGTCTATTTCCTGTACGGGTTTAAGTCATAAGTGGGATGGTGAGTTGGGCTGTTGGAACTGTGCATGGGCATTCTATCACACTCCTTGATTCCTTGATTCTCCATGTAGTTTTTTGCAGTGAGAGAACTAGTATTTTTTTCTCTTACTCACCTGGTTTTTCACACTGTCAATCTCAGCTTGCAGCCTCAATATTGTGCGATTAATCTCTGCAATCTCATTCCTTGTGCTCCGCAGGTCATCTCCATGCTTTCCAGCAGTGGCTTGCAAGACCTCAAACTAAAATTAATGAAAGATGCAGAAAATATGCTGTTGAAAATATAAAGGGAGGTTGCTAGTCTTCTCCTCCTCCTCCTAGGCTCCTGCCTAGGCTCAGTTCCCTGTCACTTCCTGGAACTCTGTATAATGTTCAAGTTTCAGAATTGTTTTCTATGAAAAGACAAAAGAAATATCTTCTTTGCTCCAAGTAGCAACTGATCCCTTTCTGAGGCTAGAAGGACAAATACAAAATGCCCAAGTAAATTTCTTCAGCTGAATGGGGTATGCATGTGTGAATTGGGGGAAAGGGTTAGGAGGGAGAGTGAGCTGAAAGAGGATAAATGACTATTAAGACAGTTTGTGGAAAACTAGGAAATATTCAGAAGGTATAGGACAGGACACAAATAACATCAATCTCCATCACGTATTTCCAGTGTTATGTACACATTTGTCTGATAGCTTATTTGAGAAATTTCCTGAACATTTCATCCAACAGGCATTGCAAAATGGACAGTCATAACGAAGAAAAAGGCTAACTGATGGTGATATTATTACAGCTTCTACTCAAAGGAGTAGATTAAACATGTTGGAGCTAGAGATTCCAAATATGTTATGAAGGTAATAAAAAGTATCCATATTAATCATAAATTTGAGGTTCATTTGCAGGCAGCTATCCAATATAGTACCTAGAAGTGGCTTTCTTAAACATTTGCAATATATTTGAAAATTATAATATAGCAGTAAGCCATTATAAATGATCTACTGGATATCACCCAGTGGTTCCCTTGTAAACCCATCTTTTTCTGCCATTCTCACCTTGCTTTGGTACCAGCTTTCTGCCTCCATCCTGCTCTTATTAGCAATCTCCTCATACTGAGCTTTGACCTCAGCAATGATGCTGTCCAAGTCCAGATTCCGATTGTTGTCCATTTGGAGGATAACAGATGTATCAGAGACCTGGTTCTGCAATTCAGCCAATTCCTGACAGGGGAAAAAAAAACCAGACATTTGTTGTTTGCTGCCCTTCCTATGTTGTTCTGGTGAGGGTGTATAGCAACACAACAGTTGAAGTCTAAAGAGAGGAATGAGATAGCTTTTGAAACCAAGCTTCCTGCTACAATTTTTCATGAGATTAGGATCAAAATGGTAGCTCAGTATTCATTGAATTACATGTACTTTGTATTATGTACAATGTACATGTACATTGAATTATAAACACAAGACATTGCTATATATGGAAGATATGGGTTTTTTCTCCATGAGTTCTATTAAACACAGAAAATAATGAGAACAAAAACCCCATTTAAGACCTGGCAATAGTGTCAATGAACAAGTGCCAGCAACTTTCTCCTGTTCATGCAAGCTAAGCTCATTGTGCCATACACATATACAGAAAAACAATATTAACTCATTAAAATAGCCGGATTTGTAAACTCCTTTGATACCCCAACTATTGCACAAAAGAATCATGTGAGACTTGATATATTTAGCAAGAGTTTAAGGTTTCCACTACAGAGGCATTTGTTCATTAAATTGTGACAGGGTTGACAAATAGCCTAGAGATTATGGAGAAAAGGGAGTCAGAACAATGATAAGTAAATATAGATGATTACATCAGTAGAATTCCAGTGCTTGTAATTTCTAACAGCTTTGTATTCAATGTCATGTCAAGCTTGAATTTAATTTTTTGAGGCTCCTTACTTATATGGGGAAACTGCATTTTCCAGTGGAATTTTGGAATATAGAACCACTCTTCACTTGAGCAAAGTTATCCTTGAAAAATACATTTTAGTTTAAAAATGCAGCCTACCCAGTCAAAGGATGGAGTTAAATCTAATCAAAAGATTGCTGTAAGTGCACTTTGCATGTTGTATTAAATTATCATTTGCTTAACCATGGTTTGTTGAATAAACTACAATGTCTGGGGACACACATCACATTAAGCAATTGGAGTTTGGCAGCCAATAAATTTAAACAGATAAAAAAAATGTCAAAACTAAACAAATTAAATTTTGGCTTACATAGTAATATAAACTCAGTTAAAAATAGGATTCCAAGCAGACTGGAATTCTGTCTGAACCTATTTTCTTCAATACTGAGAAAATAAATTTCTAATGAAAAATTCAGCAAATAAATTCACCTACCCACACAGAGTGATTACATTAGGGATCAAATAATTTGGGATCAATATTAGTGACAATATATTTTTGACAATATTTAACAATGGAGAAGATAATACTCCTCAAGGCTCAAATGTAATGGAGAACCATAATTTGCTTTCTTTGATTACAATTGTTACATCTGCATATTTAAATTTCTGCTAGAAGAAAATGACCTTCCTTAGTTTTCCTTGAATAAATTTATGAGAGAATTTAATTTTCCTCTTTTTTGTGAGATGCTGAAGCTGAATACTGTCATTACAGAATGTTTATCTTTATTATTTGCTAAGTTACATATTTTATTTTAATGAATAATCTTTATTTCTGTTAATTCTTCCTCTCCCTTCATAAAACAAATCCTTTGCTCAATCTCTCTGACCATGCCAACTTTTCCAACTTTTGACCACGACAAGCTAACAGGTCATATGTAAATATTTAAATACATTCTTCACAAGGATCACTTAATTTGTCTTCTGTATGGAGAGCAATAGCACAAACATTCTTCCTTAGCCTTGCATCTTCCAGATATGCTTCTTGCTGACTGGGAGTTGTAAACCAGCATATCTGAACAGTACCAGACTGTGGAAAATGACAGTAAAGTTTACTTACTGCTTCATAAAGCGCTCTCAGGAAATTTATTTCATCTGTCAGCCCATCCACTCTGGCTTCCAGCTCCACCTTATTCATGTAAGAAGCATCAACATCCTAAAAGAAACCATTAGAAAAAAAGCAACTTATGTTTTTGAGAAATGGAGAATAAAGAAAGGATGAGATTGCTACCCTGGGCAAAAACCAAAAATGTAATAGAGAATCTCATCTCTTTGCTGCTAGGTTTAATCATCCTTGTCCCTGCCTTAAAATGAAATTGTCAGAATGATTTAGCATCAATGTACACACGATACTGGGGTGGTGCGATGGCTCAATGATTAAGACACTGGGCTTGTCAGCTGGAAAATCAACAGCCCGGGTTCGAAACCCGAGCATCGTGTGACAGGGTAAGCTCCTATTACTTGTCCCAGCTCATGCCAATTTAGCAATTTGAAAGCAGGCAAATGCCAGTAGATCAGCGCTTCTCAACGTTTGTGTGACGGCGACCCTCGTCACACAAACGTGCCGCGCATGTGCAGCGCGGCGTGCATGTGCGGCGTGCATGTGCGGTGCCCCCATGCACGGCATCGCCCCATGCGCAGCGCGCATGTGCAGCGTTGCCCCCATGTGCAGCGCGCATGCGCTGCATCATCCCATGCGCAGTGCACATGTGCGGCAGCACCCCTATGCGCAGCGCACATGCACGGCATCGCCTCATGCGCAGCGCGCATGCGCGGCATCGCCCCCTGAGGGGGAAAAATGGCGGATCGCCTTGTTTGGCGACCCCCGTGAAATGGTTGATCGACCCCAAATGGGGTCGTGACCCATAGGTTGAGAACCGCTGCAGTAGATAAATAGGTACCACTTTGGTGGGAAGGTAACAGCACTCTGTGACATCATGCTGGTCACATGACTGCAGAAACATCTTTGGACATCTCTGCCTCAATGGCTCTTGAAACGAAGTGGGAGACTGCCCTCTATAATTGGCAATGACTAGCAAATTAAAATCCACAGGCACTCCTTACATGTGATATTGAACACACACCAGGCTACTGTGGCTTTTTAATCATTATTATTTAAAGGCACAATTAGAACTGAGTCCACTGCATGTGGGAAGGAGAAGTTTATCCTTTCCTTTTCTAGTTTTAATTGCAATTGCACTTGTCTTCTCCTTTTTGTCAAGCTCAGAAATAAATTTCCTTTTCCTGTAATAAACTACTTAAGGGAAAGAAGGTAGCTGCAAGTAATCCATTTCAGATAATATGTATTGTAGACCGTCCCTAAATGTCTTGTCCATATTGATGACTCAGTTGACCTTGGGTAGGTCACCTATCCTTGCTGTGTATCCTTTATCCTTCTCCTCTTCCGTCTCATCTGTTTGCTTTGTATACAAATAAAAAGAAACGCCTGTCTGCATAATATAAAACCCTGCTTTTAGTGCTGTAACTCTATACTAATGGGATAGGTGTTACATTTATTATACCCCAATGTAATTCTTGCATCAGGGCTATCCAACAGCTTTTTGAATGAATGAATAAATGAATGAATGAATGAATGAATGAATGAAACCAATTTGCAAAAAAAAAAAAAAAGTATCCTTCTAAGGCAGGGGTGTCAAACTGCCGGTCCGGTTTCATCATACTGAAGCCACGCCCACCCCAATGCCAGCAATGCAAAAAGAGTCACGATACGTCACGACACGTCACATGACGTGGCAAGGTTGACACCCGTGTTCTAAGGAGTTTGGTGACTGCAGCAGTGTGTTTAGTGATTTAAAAATGCATTTTTTTTAACTCTTCCTGTCATTCACATGCTTCAAAAAAAAATTGGGCTAATGTTTGCAAGAATCTTCCTTTTGGAATGTTTATTAAATTCAGTTTTTATTCTGTTCAAAGCATATATATGGAATATCCACTTTATAGTGGAGATGACAGGTTGCCCCAGTTAATATTTCCCATGAGAAAATAATCTCTGCACAGAAATAAAAACCTGACATTAAAAAAGTCTATTCCCATGACAACTTATTTTTAATAGGTTCACAGGTTTTTTTCTTTTTGAAAATAAATAGATGGCCCTTTAGATTGGCAGTTTGAGGTAATGCCATCATTTTGTGTGTGTGTGTGTATAGACAAGAACAGATGCTACCCAAAAGTTTACATTTCCATAATTACTATTAAATTTCAATACATTTGACATTTGGACATCATCACTGAAATAAAATTTTACATCCCAATGTAGTGCTAATAAATTTAATAAGTTGACATAAATTTCTACTCTGATCCATTTCAATTGTTTTAAAGATACTGTTTTAAGGGCTATCCTGCACATAATGCTACAGAAATTCTATTAGTGAAATCCTTTTCACACCTGAAACCCTGCTAGCTATAGCACAACACGCAAATTTAGGTTAATAGACTCTTACTTTCTTGAGCACAACAAAATCATTCTCTGCAGTGGTGCGCTTGTTGATTTCATCTTCGTACCTATGAGGAATGCAGAAGAGACAGGTGGTTTAAATAGGCTCATGAATTAAATCATCACAGAAATTGTAAATTCATGTAACCCTAGCAGCAATGATGGGATGCCCCTCCTTTTAAAACTAATCAGGTCTCCTTCCCCCACCACACTATTTTAGAAAATGAAAATTTATCTTTTAACAGGATTCTTCATATTAAACATTCAAGTTTGGGAAGTCAAATTGTGACTGTGGACATTTAAATCTAGGATGACAAGCTTAGATACTGTATGTCTGCTTATTGTAAGATTAAGTTGTGCTGTACTGAAGGGGATTTATTCCCAAATTATATATGATTACCAGAAAGCAAGCTGCTTTATATCAAAGCACTTGAGTCATCTTTCTCAGTAGAACTGCACTCCCACTAAAATAAAGATATGTTTTCAGTTCCAATAGTTCATGATCTGGTAGATATTGGCTACTAAGGTGGATAAAGCTGCTATCTGGCCTATTGAATATTTGCCAACTTGTACAAAATAGGCATAAGTTTATCAAACAGAAATGCAATAGATAACTTGGAATGTTCATTCTCAAATGAATGATCTAAACCAGAGTTCTCCAACATTTCCGGACTGGTGGAGAGGATGGCAAGTGCACACACAGCTCCATTTGCATGAGCAGCATGCACGCGCACCTGACACTCACACAAAGGGAGCACGCACATGCTTGCCCGCTGCTCGTGCAAATGAGCATGCACTTGCACACACACACACTCGCTGGCCATTTCCAGGGCCCAGTTGCAAACCCCTCATGGCCCACTAGTGGGCTGCGGCCTACAGGTTGGGGATCTCTGCTCTAAACAACAGTATCTTATTTCTGAAAACTATGTGTGAATTTGGAAGAGAGAATACAGTGCTTTTGCAAAGAAGGTTGAGTGCTTGCAAGCCAGATTGCCTTTGGAATGGAATAAGAATGCTGAACTGTAGCCTTGACAATTCTGCCTTTATAAAAATTAGATTCTCTGCTCTGTTGAGTTAGGGTTAATAGAAATGGCAGAAATTGGGGTGTGGTTGGCAAGAATTCTGATTCCTTATCCAACAATTTTCAAGCAAGCAAGCAAACAAACAAACAATAAACAAGGATAAGTCACCTACTCAAAACACAAAAAATGGACACGTCTATCATTAAGACTGGCCAGTTAACCTACAACAGCTAAGTGCACAGTCATGCTTCAAATAAATTAAAAAGTATTCATCTTTGACATGGTGTATGACAATTAAAACAGTCTTGTATTGTAGATAGGCAGAGCCTTCAAAGACACAAAATGAATTCATAAGAAAAGTGGACTTTTGAGAACTGCAGTGTGGTCCCTTTCCACAATACACAATAGTTACAGCTTAAGCTCACTCTGTTCATTTTTTCCCTTCCTGTCCAATACAGCTCTTCTTATCTTCATTTCACTTCCAATTTCGTTTTTGCCTCCTTTCTACCAGATGGAAGAAGGTGTGTGTGTGTGTGTGTGTGTGTGTGTGTGTGTGTGTGTGTGTGTGCGCGTGTGCTTATATCACACAGATCTCAATCCATCATTAATTATATTTTCTTTTAAAAAACCTGGTTTATCTTTTTTGAGATTGGGTTCTGTGAGCATGGGCCATGAATACATTAAATGAGGAAAAGGTAGAAATTATCTCCTGGGCTGTTTTTAGCTGGAACTGGAAAACCTAAACGGATGAACAAAGAAAGGAGAGCTCTGCATATAATTATTTTTCTTACTCTCCTTTTGGGCATGAAGACCTCTCAAATCTGTAAATTTGTTCTTTCCTGGAAGAACCTGAAACTCCTGAAACTTAACATTCCTCTTCCTCATTGCAAAAAATTGTGGAGATTGTAAATTGAAGCAGATGCAGAGAATATTCTGTAACAGACTCTCTCACAAATTCCTGGAGTTCATAAAAGTAAAGGCCTTTTTAAGCTGCTTATGGCACAATTGGGCTCTCACACAAAGAACTATCCCTACTACATATGTAAGGGGTTGGTGCCCCTCAGTCATTAAGAAAGCCTAGTTAAGGCCTATACTCAGGCTGCTCCTCCCTTTCTCCAGCTATCCATATTGTAACTTGTCTGCCCTTTGGGAACCGTTAAAAGTTATTGACTTTTCTCCTCCACAGAGACACACCCTCAAGCAGTTTATCAGTTCTGTTTGATCTCCATTCTTATTGAAGCTAGCGTGCCAACTTTCTATTTCTTAAACACTACAGGTGTGGCCGGTTGGGCAAAATAGGCGAGGAGTCCGTTTCTCTTGGACATTTGTAAGAAGCAAAGAGCTTTTTTACATAGGTTCAGCAAGAGGCTTTTTCACACGAGTTCACACCATTTGCTCTTTTGTCTCCATGGGGGCTTTCTGAATAACAGCAGGTGTGCTCCTTGGTAAAATGCAGAGCTATCAGCAGATAAAATATTAAACTTCCTTCCTCCAACTCCCTTTTTCAACAGTCCTTTGTCAAGAGATAGGAGAAAAAAAGTGACCTTTCACTTGCTAGCATGCTCTTTGTATTGACCGATTGCATGAGAAATTAATCCAGGACCTTCATGGGAGGGATTTCCACTCAAAATTGCTCCTAATGTGGAAGAATTAGGCTATAATTTATTATACCCTTAAATTACACAGATGAGATAAAAAGTCCTAAGTTCAAGGTCTGCCACATCAGGATAATCATGCAATAGTTGAAGTATGGGACACAGACTGAGAAAAAACTCACTCAAAATCCTCAATCTTCCATACAATTTGTTAAGTCACTCGCTGGTTGCTTTCAGTAAAATCTACCTCATAAGAACACTGAGTAGGAACACTGAGAAGACAAAACAAGGATTTGTGTTTGAGCTATGTGCCCTGCTCTGAATTCTTTAGAAAGGAATTTGACTTTAAATATAACTATATAGATTTTCTAAGCTAAGTAAAAGGCTCATAAACAATCAAGCCATCAAACATGCTAAAAGCATCCAATTTTTGAGAGTAGTATCCAAACTTCACAAAGCAGTAAAACTCAATCCAACTATGTCTTTTCTGTAGCCCAAAGGAACCCAGGGGCCCTTCTGAGATTCCATTTAAGCCAGGGATTCCTCTCAATCTTGGCTTGATCTTAAACGTCTCACAACCAAATCACTTTTCCACCATTATATGAGGCAAAAGTAGGCTGTCATTCATACTTTGTGAAAGAGATCAGAATCTTTTTTTAAGGATTTCCTTCTCAGTTCCTAGATTTGTTCCTAATGTGGTCATGAGATTAGAGGCTGGACTCCGCAGAACTGAAGGTAGAATTTGCAAATAATATTTGCCTGACTAAGCCATAATTTACAGGTACCATTAATTTTAAGGAACAACCATACATAAAACTGGCAGGTGGTGGAATATTACATAAATTTTGCATATGCAGTGTTATCTAAGTGTCTGTTACTGGGGATTAGAGGTAGTTGAGGCTGTCATCACACAATAAGATATTGTGTTGAGCCAAATTATAAGAATATATCACTCCCTCAGAAAACACAGTGGCTTCCTCCCCCCCCCCCCAAACACCTCCATATTTATTCTCACTTTTATATTCTAAGTATTGCTGGCTTTTCTAAAGCCTGTTTTAATGCCTTACTATCAGCATTTTTAGAGGGCAGCTTTAATAAAATACCAGTATGAAAAAAAGTTATGCCCAAGTAGAACCCATGAAGAATCTATTGCATCAATTGTTCCATACTGTGCCTGATTCAAGACGACTGGTTCTTCCCTTAAACAAACATTTTCCTAGGCTCATGTAACAGTAATATAAATTATCTGTTAAATGTCACAAGCCAGGCTGCAGAATATTGCTACATATAAAGATACACCTCAGCAGCATAATTACTATGGAATATATGCATATTAATATAACTTGGATATTCATAGATCAAATTATAAGGATATTTATCATTATAAGGATTGCTTTATTTAATCTTGGTTTAAGAGTGCATCAGATTTGTAAAGAATACATAAACTAAAATGGGGTGACCCAGCTATCTAGGCTAATACTGTGCTTTAAATATATAGCAACCCCCTTGGATTCTAGCAATTTCTCTTTCTAGACTATAGAATGCCACGCAGAAAACAGCTCCAGGACATTTACACCATTAAATCAAGGATACGTGGTAGAAAGGTAGACAAAGCATTCCCTGTCTCTGCCCATAAAGTATACATGCAGAGATCAGGTAGATGAAAGCAATTATTTAACACCCACATTTCTGCACCTCCAGAAACTGTATACCAGAAGAATTTTTTTGCAAATGAATCTTTTAAGCCGTTACAGTTATCTGCATACCTGCTGGAAAGCCTTTTGTATGAGATGTGTGAACATCAGGCAGAAGTGTTTTAATGCTGTCTACTGAATGATTTAAATGGGATCTCCCTCTCTGCAAATTAGTAAATGGTACCATCCAAAGAGGGCTGTGTCATACTTCGGATTCCATTTTGGCCAGACTCAGCCAGTCTTAAGAGTTCATAATTAATAGGTTAAATAGGCTGGAGATCTTAATGGGTATGTACGCATCATGCTCAACCACAACTATTCTAGTCTTCATGTTTTATGATTCCAAAGAAGCCCATCTGATCCCTATTAACTTTCCAAGGAAAAGCATCGTAAAATTGAATTTGTTTTTATTTGTATGACTAATATTTTGGCTTTATCTTGCAGAACCTCCATATAATTCCTTTCTTAACTATTTGCATACTTCCCCTGTATGCCAGAAGTTGTCTGAAGCAACCTAAATAGTAGAATTACCAGATCTAGGTTGCAAAAATGAAGATCACAAAGAAATAAAAATCGTCTCTATTTGATGGAGATGGGCCAGCTTAGAAATTAAATAAATAAATACAGACAGACATACAGACAGTTTTCCAGATCTCAAATAGCATGAGAATAATCTCAGCTCAATTTCTGCATGTCATGTGCTTGAAATACACTTTGCTAATGTCTCCAGGGCTTATTTCAATCACCTGTGAGTTCATATTGCTTATTTGCAATTCAATACACATTTGTTTGAGAATGAGTCTCAATAGGGTCAACTGGAATTTGCCATGAATTTCTGACCCCCCAAAAAACCACACACACTTTTAGACCCTAAATTCTCTTTTAGATACTCTTCCCCTAAAGCAAAACCTGGGATGCTTTGCAAAGAGGCACCTGGAGCCTCCCAGACTTCACAAAAACCGTTATGAATACATTACTTGTTCTTAAAATCCTCAACAAGATCCTGCATGTTCTTCAGTTCTCCTTCCAGCCGTCCCTTGTCATTCTGCAAGCTGTCTAGCTGTCTCCGCAGATTGTTAATGTACGCCTCAAAGATAGGTGCAGTGTTGTTCCGGGTGCTGGTCTTTTGCTGCTGTAAGATGTTCCATTTGGTCTCCAGCATTTTATTTTGCTGCTCAAGGAATCGGACCTGACAAATACCCACAAGTGCATTTTAAAGAATAACTGTTTTACCAGCACAACATGAAATGCCACAAAATCAGAAGAAAATGACCAGCCTGAATAGCCTCAGCTATCAGATACAGAGAAAAGGGTAAAAGAATGAATTATCTGACAATATTAAGTAGCTAGGGAGGGAGGGAAGCTGCAAAGGAAGAAAAATTCTATGGATAAATCTTTGTTTTAGCAGATTGGTCTGAAGAAAGCCTTTTAGCCACAGGTCAGCGTAAAACACATGCCTGAATTTAGTTGCCCGTTTTACAAGCTTTTTGAACTTGTGATATTTATTTAGTTTTTGCATGGTGCACAGTTTAAGAGCTCAGGAATGTTTGCTTTGCCTTTTACTGCATTTTCTTTTCATTGGTTTAAGAACTGAGGGAGGTTACAGACTTGGGTTTCCAGCAAAGAAACTTCCTGATCAGTTTTATAGCTAAGCAGAGATTCATTCATGCACACACATTGTTCTCTAATGTTTAAATGAATAAACTACATTAATAGGGGCTATAACATTTCAGGAGACATGTTAATTTACAACAAAAATTGGGACTAGAATTTCAATTGCTAAGCAAAGGGGTGAATAAGTAAGTTGTGCCTTATTTTCTGACTTTTTTTGCCATAGTTGGTAAGTGAATCACTATGGTTGTTAAGTGAAACATGCAGTCGTTAAGCAAATCTGGCTTTTCCCATTGAATCTGGGAAGGTCGCAAATGGCAAGTATAACTATGGCAAGCTGCAGTTGTTAAATACATGCCCATTGCCAAGCTCTGAGGGACACTAAGTAATCCTCATTTCAACCCTGAGCTACAAATATTCTATTTTTTTTGGTACCATTGTCAATCTCCTGAATTTTGATTACATGACTGTGGGGTTTTTGCAATGGTCATAAGCGTGAGGACCAGTCATAAGTCACTTTTTTTAGTGTCATTGTAACTTCAAACAGTACCTTAACAAATGGTTGTAAGTGGACAATTACTTCATAGGCTCAGAGCTTTGGCTTTTGGCTAACTACCCAACCCAACCCAGAACTAGTAGACAAGGAGCACAAATGGCATCAAGGTATATAGATGGCTTGTGATGAATACTTATGGGATATCTCTGTGTAGATATCTGACAATATGCTCCCCAGTATCCTTACTCAGAATCCCTATATATATTCAGTGCAGCTGCTCCCAGGAACAAGATAATACGCAGAAGAGTTTAAAAGGTGAGCAAGGGTATATAGAGATAAAATCATCATGGAATGGGATCCATCCTTTTTTTTCCCTTTGTCATTAACTCAAATACATTGCAACCTCCAGTGCACAAATATAAAAACAAGACATTTGGGCCACTTAAGAGCCAAGCAAAAAATGTTACAGAACATATCAAGTGTAATTACTTATTAAGATGTGTGCACTCATAGCTATGAGTATGACCCCCGGAATAATTTTGAACTTTGGGAGATCTCTCTCCTTTTCCCCCTGTGTGTATAATGTTATTAGCCTCCATCCTGACAACATGGGAAGAACAAAATATTATGAAAATATACCATCTTTTACAGATCAGCTCAAAAGCCTGCTATCCTGCCATACCCAGCCTTAATCAAGGGATTATTAAGAACAATCATGTGGTATAGAGTCACTGAGCCATCACAAACAAGGTCCAGACAGAAGAAGAACATTGTGGCTTCAAAATCTAAGGGATTGGTTTGGACAAAACTCAGCAACACTTTTTCGTGTGGCTGCTGATAAAAACAGGATCGCCAACATGATCATCAATGTCCGATAACAGATATGGCATAAGAAGAAGAAGAAGAGCCATCACAGTTTAAATCCCAGTTATCTGGGTGAAAATCAAGTATCTCCTTGAATGCAGCTTAGGTAGTTAGCCTGGAGGAATCCCTAACCTTGCAAAAAAAAAAAAAGCAATGAAATATCACAGCATTATGAATACAGTTGCAATCCACTAAGGCTTATAGAAATTTCTTGATATCACAAAAAGGCTGATATCTCACCTTGTCAATGAAGGATGCAAATTTGTTGTTGAGGACCTTAATCTGCTCCTTCTCCTCCTTGCGTACCTTCTGGATGGTTGGGTCAATTTCCAGGTTGAGTGGGGACAAGAGATTCTGATTAATAGTGACTTCTTGAATACCACCGCCATATCCAAGCGAAGGTGAGACAGAGAAGGACGGGGCAATCCTCCTGCTGCTGGAGCCCAAGTTATACAAACTGGTGCTACCAAAGGCACCTGGCTTCCTAAAGCTTCCACCCCCTCTGATTCCACGCGATGAAGAAACAGAGCTGATCCGGACTTGGGAAAAGTTAGAAGGGGCAGTTGCTGAACGAGAACTGAATGAAGTCATCTGCGACATGATTGCTCAAACAGGGGTTTATAATCTGGCAAACTACAGATGAGGAGGGGAAGAACAGCAAGCTAGACTCAGGGGAGTTAAAAAGTCCCTCTGAACCTGCAGGCTAGCACTTCCTTTCCTTTTTATCTATTAGAAAGAGCTGGGTTTGGCTTGGGGGCAGAGAAAGGATCATTTTACTGCCTGAAAGAATTGGGTGTGTCTGGCTGCCGGCCCACTGCCTTCAACCTGCTGAGCTCAGTGGAGAAGAAAGGCAGCTGGGGAAACGCTATCAGCTCCACTCCCTACACCTTGCCCTTTTCTTAGCAGCTATTGTCCACCTTCCCAGATAGCTTGGCCCCAAGCAGAATAAAGTTAATGTCTGACAGTCTTTTATTCCTGCCTTGTGGCTAAGGACATGTAAAAAGAAATATACAGGGATCAGAGAGAAGTTGAAATAATGCATGGTTTTATGTTAAAAAAAGAAATGACAGGGAGAATAAACCAAGGATAATGAGATCAAAAGGGAAGAAAAACCTGTTGAACATTGCAAATCCAGCATCTTCAGTCAGGGCCTTCAGTCAGATATGCTGTTTCTGAGCCTTCTTTGTATAACATTTAGAAAGATACAATAATGAAAAATCTACCCCAGGTTGATATCCTTCCAAATAAGTTGAACAACAGTTCCTGTTAATATCTGCATCAAATGGGTATAAACTAAATAAGCACAAATACTTCAATTTCTCATCATTTCCATGGTTAATAATTTATATTTGGTTTTCTTATATTTTGTGTTTTTATGCACCAGTCGGCGGGATTTTGTTCCCTCATACTGAAGGAAGGTAACCATTGGTCATTTCAGCTCACAAACAGTAGACTTGAAAGGTTTTTAGATACTCCAATATAGCAACAGAGGAAATTTAATCCTAGGCCTCCAAAACATATGCTCTTTTAGTGTAATTTATATTGACTAAAGCAGCACATGAGCTGTTTTGGTGCAGCTGCAATCAAACCTTCTTCCTGGACCTTTTAATCTAGAAGAGATTTTTTCTATAGTCCTAGATCCCTGCATTGTCTCCACAGATTCAAAGCAGACTGATAGAGAAGAAAGAAACTGTGGACTATATTCTGATAATATGAATGGACTGGCTGGATATATTTTAATCATGGCTTGTTAAACTAAGCCACAGTGGCTAGATTCATACATTGCCCCCTTATCCATAAGCAGTGGTTGGGTTCACACACATTAAGCCACAACCAAACAAAGACATTGTGGCTTAATATAATGTGGAAACCTAGTCAACTTGCTCTTCATCTGTTGGTTGGCTAGTGTGGGAATTAAACCTTATAAGGAAAACTCAGGATGTATTTCTTCAGGAACTGGCTGATTTACTACACTTGATGCATCAAGCCAAAGGAAGCAGCCTACAAATCTCAAAGGGTAGCCAAAAAGACCTTTTGTAAGATCTCCTTGTTTTACTGTCCTTCACATTAAATTGAAAGAATTGCTGAGTTTTTAGAACTAGTCCTTGACCCTTTTTATAGAAGCTTCATTGTGTACATTCTTGTCACAAAGGGTTAATGTTTATTTCTGTGAGGGGGGAAAAACTTTACTGTTATTTTCTGACATTCAAGGAGTTTTAAAAGGCTGACTTTTTGTGACACCCCAGCAAAGACTCCCACTTGGCTCATGTCTGCATTTCAAATCCTGCTTAAGATGGAATTGGGGGCAATTCATTTCTTTGGTATGAGTTGACTCAAGAGTTATTCTGAGAGGGAGGGAAAAAAACAGATAAGAATTTGCCCTAGGAAGTTTCAGGCCAAACTTGTTATCAGAAGCAAAGGTGCAAGTTGATGTTTTGGTTACCGTGGTAACATCAGCCACCATTAGGCAAACAATCTCCCAGTCCACAGAGCTGACCCTTGGCAGTTCTGTCTCCTGCAACACAGAGAAAAAGACTTCCTCTTTTTGATACAAAGCTGAAGTGAAGACTGAAAATTCAGTCTTTAGGTGGTAGGCTCAGATCCCTGAGTGTGTGAACCTGAGAATGGGGATAGAAGAAAACAGATCATTTCTCTGCACCAGTAATAGCCCTAGCTAAAGCAAACATTGAGGTTTGCAAGCATGTGGAAAGTTTCTGCAGATCTTTGTAAATATAGCAGCTGACTAAAAGACACAAAAAGTCTTATGCTTTTCTGCAAAGGAAAAAGGGAACTCCATTGGTGGCCAAATCTTTTTAGGGAGCTGGTTCAACTCTTTGGTACGTGTAAACTTCTGTGACAAAGATCTTTGTCTATTTGCTTTGCTCTACTGTCTTCTCATACCATCAATAAGATTGTGTGAGAGGATGAAGAAAATAAAGGAGGATGGGTGGACAATCACACAATTGGCAGGAAAAGAATGTTAAATACAGGCAGTCGTTGGATAACTATGGCAATTGGGACCAGAATTTCTGTTGTTAAGTGACATTGTAATGCATGATGTCACATGACCATACTGCTTAGTGTTGGCAGCTCCAGCTGTCATTGTTAAGTGAATCCCATATGGCCATTAAGCAAGGACATCGTGTGGTCACCATTTGTGATCTGCCTCCTTCCCCATTGACTTTTCTTATAGTTAATCAGCAAAAAAGGTCTCAAAGGGTGATCAAGTGTTTGTGGGATCCTGTAATGTCATAATTGTGAGCTGCACAAGCACCTGGATCCTGATTGCATAACTATGGGGATACCAAGATGGCTGGAACTTTGAGAGCCTATTGTAAGTATCACTTGTTCAGTGCTATTGCAAGTTCAAATGCTTGTTAACTGAGGCCACCTGTATTTCTATGAAGAAGGAGAAAGAGATAATAGTGATGGTGATTAATTGATTAACTGGGCCATAAAAGGAAATCATGCAACTGATTGTTGTCTCTGAGAAAAGTCTTTGAAAATTGTACCGTAAAATGTCTATGATGAATTAGGAATCAACAATTTCTTCATTCTTTTTGCCTACACTTTCTCATAAGACACATCTTGGAAATGCATTACAGGTTTCTCAGGAAGAAGTCCAGTAATAGTGGACAGTCATCAGGCAAATTCCTTTCCTTTTCCAAGAAGACTTTTTGCAGAAGTGACAGGCCAAAGCTTCAGAACTACAAGAGTCCTAAAGGCTTTAGTGTGTCCCTCAGAAACATTTAAAAAAAAAAAAAAAAAATTAACATGACAGAAGGAAAAATATATAATTCTTTTTTCCCCAATAATTTTATTGAAGATTATATTAGATGGATAAAAACTAATACAACTGCATAGTACAGAAATATATTTTAATTTTTAAAAAAATCATAAAGTGCAGAAAAGAGATGTCTGTCTGAAGTGACAAATTGCTAATGCTGATTATATTTGCTGGGGATGAGGAGAAAGTTTTCTTCTTTTATCATTTCTAAGATAAAAAACTCTCTAAAGCCTCATCCCATCCTTAAGCCTCATCTCTCTATATTAATCAGCAAAAGTCCAATAAGGATTATCAGAAATAATAGCATAAGGATTACAAACTTCGTCTGTTACACCAATCTGAATCCTTCCTATCAATAGATTGGATAGCAGACACTAATGATTTACTACAGACAAATCAATGTGCAAAATATTCCCTGAAAGTAAAAAGTTTTCTTTTACTATTTTTCCTTTAAAGGACCTAGTTTGTGCAATTTTCATTCATGAGTCATATGACACAGTCCTGTATTACCATATCTCATCTTTTCTTTTTCTTTCTCACACTTCCTATAAGTCATCATCAGCCAGACTAGCTTCATTCCTACCTCTTAACAAGTTTTATGTAAACAATAGCTTTATTTTTTAAAACCATGATGTAATGGTAGACAATGGATAATTGTTCGGGTTGTCACATTATACAAAGAAGAATGTACATTCATACCTAATTATTATTTATGTTATAAGTCTGTCAATCAGAATAATGTTTCTGGACTCATAGTTTAGTTCCCAGCTGCTTAGATTAATTATGAGTGTAGTCTGACAGCATTTCTACAAAATGTGCTGATTGCTATAACAGAATTGTGCAAATTGTCATGTTTTGATGTCAGGAGAATGATCTGTAGCAGACATTGGAAAGGACTTTTTTTAAAAACTGCCTCTGCCTCTTTTTCACTGCATGATCTTGTGCAATAATCCTTACGTGCCCCCCCTCGCAATCCAAAATATTGCAAGATTTCAGCTATCTCATTCAGAGATTATTGTGATATGTCATATGAAAACGGTAAGATCTCATTTGTGAGATAGAATAATGAATTGCTGGTAGTTTTCATAATGTAAAAAGCGAATGAGCTCGAAACAACATTTAGAGTGTTCATAGCAAACTTAAAGTAACTGGATTTTTAGTTTGAAAAATACAACACTAGCCTGTAAATCTTCTGCCTCAGAACATGGCCTGATTTATTTTGCTTTGGAATGATGACAGACTAGAAAGGAGGATTATGTAGAGATAGAAATACCTGAAACTCTTATTGGGAGGCCCAGCCTGAAGGGCTATGAGCCTGACTTGAAATATCTTCAAATCCAGGAATTTTAAGGGGGAGGGGAGGGATGTGACAGAGCAAGAAAATTCCATGTGTATCACTGAAATTCTAGGGATGAGCTTTCTTCGCCCACTTCAAGTTTGTGCTGAAACAAGACATGATTTATATCCCATTTCTGAAGAATAGTGAAGTGGGATTGATTTATGCAGTCCTATATGTTGGTGTCAACATGTTTTTACCATAATAATAGCAAGGGAATATACTTCTCTTGCCTTCCCTATTTGGTAAGAAGTTTGTTTCTGGGCCTACAGTACATAGAGTACATTTTTGCTTGCCTTCTGGCTCTTCCACATAGCAACCCTGTAATCCAGGGTGGATTTTGTATGCCAAAGAAAGGCTGACCATTTGGGATCCTTCTTCGGCCTTGGCAAGGAAGCAGAACAGGAGTACTCTCTGCACTGAGAATCTGGGGGAGAAGAGGCAGTGTGGGGAACACCTCTTTTGGTGCCACCCACTAATAAGCAGAAGGAACACAGTGGAGAACATGCAGGTGAAATTGGAGAACTGGCACCAAAGGAACCATCTCTACTGCTTCTCTCCCCCACTGCTTTTTATGACTATATTGTAAAGGAGTGGGA